CTCACCGGTTCAAGGTTGAGTCAGCCTTCCATCCTTCCGAGGTGGGTAAAATGAGGACCCGGATTGTTGAGGGCAATATGCTGACTCTGTAAACCGCTTAGAGAGAGCTGTAAAGCACTGTGAAGCGGTATATAAGTCTAACTGCTATTGCTATCTAGGCCAGTTTTCATGCCTAAGGTAGCACTAGAACTGACAGGCTCCTGGTTTCTGGGTTTAGAACTGGTAAAAGTTAACTGCTACACACCAAACTGGTATACTAACCGGTATACACCACACTGAATTCACAATTCAGGAAATGCAAAATACATCAGTCTTTGAGACTTGCTTACTGAGATAGCCATGCTCAGGAAGAATCCGAAATTCGGGATATTCATTTTGGCAATTGTTTGTTCTCCAATCATGTTTCTATTTAGCTTCTGAACATTTTGTTACCAGACTAGGTAACATCAGCAGGATTTTTTTAACCTATTCTCCTTAGTTAATAAATGTCTTGTCACAAGACATTTATAAGCTAAGGAGAATAGGATAAGAAACCCTAGTTACTTAGTCTCATAACAAAAGTTCAGAAACTAAATTGAAACAAGCTTGGAGAGCAAACCACTGCCAAAATCTAAAACCAGAGCTACAACTATTTTCTATTATTTCATGTTCCAACAGGGTAAACTTCCTTAGCTCTCCACCTATGACCCTTTGCAAATTCCTGCCTGCGTGACTTGGACAATTTGACATATAGTAAAGGACTTGGAGAAAAAAGGAGGATATGAAAGGGCTTTGTGCCTCTTAAGCCAAACTGAAAATACAGAGCTATTATCTCCCCACAAATCAGAGTATCTCACAAAAAGCTCACAGGCATAAGAGGATTGCTCCAAAGACCAAGTGACATTCAGCTCTGCTCATTCTCAGTGATGCATATGTAATACTTCTAGAAACCTACTGCAGAAACAGGAACTGTCAACGTACTCAAGCTGCTTTATAAAGTGAGCAATGAACTAGCATTAAAATTTAGGGAATGGAGGTTTTCGGCAGTTTCCATTTTGTTCTGGCTTTACCACTTTGAAAATACAGCCCTTGTTCAAAGAAAAAAATGTATTATTTCCTTTAAAAAAAAAAACTATATAGATATAAAACCAGGCTCAAATTGTCCTACTTTGAATACATTATGCAAAGACGCAGCTCTCTGAAGAAACTTCCAATGTTTGAAAAAGTGGAAAGAAAGGGAAGAGGACAGGAAGGCAGCAAGTGGGATGGACTCCATTCCAACAGAGATGAAAGTACTGTTGGAAGAGCTTGAGGCTCAAACTAGAAACAGATCATCATGACGGAAAATTTATTTATGGGGTTGCTATGAATTAACAATGAGTTGATGGCATGTAATCAATTGATCAGTAGATATAACAATGGCCTCTCCAAAGAAAATAGCTTAGCCATTTTCCCACATGCAGGAATTGGTGTGCTTATTAATAGCAGCAAAGAATTGAATGAAACATGCTATTTATATAGCAATACCACTTAGACTTATATACCAATTTACAGTGCTTTACAACCCTCTCTAAGCGGTTTACAGAGTCAGCACATTGCCTCCAGCAATTTGGGTCCTCATTTTACCCACCTTGGAATGATGGAAGGCTGAGTCAACCTTGAGCCTGGTGAGATTTGAACTGCCAAATTGCAGGCAGGCAGCAGAAGTAGCCTGGAGTACGGCATTCTAACCACTGCACCACCATACTAAGCTATTTCAACATTATTTTCTAGTGAAAACTGTCCAAAGGATCGCCCAATAAAAAGTATAGTTAAGACCCATTTTAAAGAGCAGCATGGTGGCAACAATCGGAAGAGGAGCACATACTCCTAACATCCATAGTTCTCAATTTATACATTTATTTAGCGACTGTTTGAAGACATGGCAATACTGACAAAATGACATATGTCTGGTCCTCATGCTTATGACTGCCATAAGCATCCTCTGCAGTCATATGATCAAAATTCAGGCCCTTGGCAACAGGTATGAATTTATGACCATTGGATCATCCCAAGGTCACGTGATTGCCATTTGCAATCTTCCCAGCCAGCTTCCCACAAGCAAAGTCAGTGGGGAAGCTGGATTTGTTTAATGACCCCATGCATTTAAATGCAGTAATTCACTCAACAGTCATGGGGATAAAGGTTGTAAATTCAGGCATGACTCATTTAGCAAACATCTTGCTTAGCAACAGAAGTTCCAGTCCCAATAATGGCAATGTTGAGGGCTACCTGTAAATGGTTTCCTGCATTAAGAAGATAACCTATCATGGAGAAAAGTTCTAATTCAATTTAGAGTTTAGCCAACTGAGATCATAGTGAGTCTTACATAGAAAAGTGTCTGTTCTTGCAATCTCCACTAGCATTTGGAAGATTTAGAGAAGCAGCAGCAAATTATTTTTCTAAATAGGTTGTTAAGCTACAAGGATCTCAACTTAGGTTGTACTGTAAGACTTTGAATACTAGTTAGCTCTGCTTCATCTTCTAAAAAGTGAAGTAAAGCAATATGCTATATTTCCTTCTATGGCCGATTAAGATCCCCATAGACAAAACTGGTTATTCATAGCTTTTAAGGTAGGTTTTAATCTCGTTGTTGGACTGGGGGTAGCAGGTACGCTGGTAATCTTCCTTTCACAATACTTTTCCTGTACAGAAACAAGTAAGGCATTCTATATGGAGGAAAAATATGCAACTCCTTAAACCACAGAAAGCAACTAAAACATGAATGAAAGAGCTGCCACTCTACTTTCAGCCTGGATATAATGAGGGCTCTGCTGGGGGATAATTTTCCTCCCCTTTCTTCAATATAAATTTAGTTCTTCTAGATTCTAAAATTATTATTGATACACCTAGCCTGTATACCAACTGATCATGCATGCATCCGTGAAACTATGTAGCAGTAGAACTGAGTATTTCCTTTCCATTTGTTTGCTGGCAGTGATAGATTTTCCATGTGCAATCTGGCACCTATAGTGCAAAGGAAGCCTGAATAAAGACTCACAGGGCTCGAAACACAAGCAAACAGGACTGAGGGACTGATACAGTATGCCAAATTCTATTTTACAGCTCTAAACATTATTTTAAAATTGTTTTCATGCACTTTGAAAAGTTGAAAATCTGTGGGAGGAGCTGTGGTGGCGCAGTTAAAATGAAGTATTGCAGGCAAAATCTGTCAACTGCTAGCAGTTTAATTGTCTCCACCTTAAAGTCGTCTCAGCCTTCCATCCTTCTGAAGTTGATAAAATGAGGACCCATATTATGGGTGGTATTCACTCACTTTCGCAAATGTGAGCACGTGCCTGTCCATGCATGTGCTCGGCCTTCTGTGCATGCTCTTTGATCACGCATGCGGCTTGCATTGCATGCATGCGTGCAGCTTCAAAAATGTGCCTAAATAGGACAGCATGGAGCTGAGATGGACCCCACCTGTGATTTCCACTACCAGTTTGGGCGAACTGGTCTGAACTGGATGAATACCACCTCTGGGCATTATGCTGACTCTATGGAACAGCTTAGAGGGGGCTGTAAAGTACTATGAAGTGGTATGTAAGTCTAGGTGCTATTGTTATTGCTGTATTATCAGCACTATTTGGAAGCATAATTTTCCAAGGAGGCTCTCAACTGGGATTGGTTTTAAGTGCATCCTGCTTTTTGTATCTACTCCCTGTTTACTTCTTTGCTACTGGCAAAGAATAGTAAATTTTCCCATAATCTCTGCAAGTTAATCAGTTGCTTTTGATGGTATTTTCCCTTGTCCCCAAGCTACTTTATTGATTGGAGTTGCTAGATATTTATTATGTGTTAATTGATAATGCAATATTTATTAGCTTCCCAGGATCATTTCTTGATCAGGGAAATTGCAGATAAAACTAAAAAAAGGTTCCCAAGTCAATGCATACACAATAGAGAATACTTTCTTATGAATAAGACTACCAAACAAACAACTCATTTGGTTATTTCAACATGGTGTTTCCGTGTATCTCTGAACAAAATAAACTGTTTTCTGACCTCTTCTGACACTGATTAAAATTTGAATGAAGAGAGGAACCTGACATGAACAGCATTATCTAAAAAAACCAGGGAAATGGAAGAAAGCACAGTCAATATCTGAATGTTTAGCTTTTAGGAGGCTGCACTTATTATCCAATTATCATGACGGTCATAAACATAGACTTGGTAATATCCACTAGCACTCTTCCCTTCAGAAATATGTCTCAGTTACATTACAAAGTCTATGTTTATGACCGTGACAAGGCCATCCTCTGTGGGAAAACAGACTTTTTAAAGCCACAATGAAGACAGGCCATGCCTAAAAAGGAGGCGCAAAATGAGTAACAGAATCAGAAGAATTATGTGCTAGGTTCCGATTAGACAAAGACGTATCAGGAGATTCAGTGGCTAGTATAGTTCTGCCACATTTTACTGATTATAAAATTCAACTCAAAGTGTACTGCAAAAGAAAACAAGAAAATTGCATGCAAAGTTAGGAACTGCTGAGCACTAGATGTACACCGGGCCCTCAGTTGCAGAACTTCAACTCTCAATAGCCCTAGCCAGCACAATCTATGGTGAAAATGCTGGAAATTGTAGTTTATTAAGTCTGGAAGATCACAGTTTATCTATCTCTGCTGCAAAAGAATAGTATAGCTTATAGGAGATCAATCTATGGATGCAGTCTCTTACCTTGAATTCCATAGGTGTGTACTTTTCATTCTTGGGAGTTGTGTTGCCTTTGTAATGAAGATGATTGGGAGTGGTGGGATGGATAATGGTTGACTCCTGAGATTGTCTCTGGCACCGTTGACAGTAAACGTAGATCACAAAGGTTAAGAGGCTAGAGCCAAAGAAACAGGAGAGTCCTGTGGCAATGAGGTGGATGAGGCTAAAACCTGGAAGAAATTAAGAGGATGCTAGGATCACTAACACAAAAATAGCAAAACACCACACTTCCCAACCATAAGTTGCAACATTTGTACTACAATTTATAAACAAAGTATTACAAGGTTTCAAACATTGCTACCATGCTGGCACTTCTTTCAAACAAGATGCTTGCCCATCACTATCTCGTCTATTTGTACTACCATACTCATTGCTGACTGGATGGTAACTGGCTTCTGGGTGCAATTCAAGGGCTTGGTTACCATCTTTTAAGCCTTTTATGGCCCAGGGCTTAATTTGAGGAACCACCTATCTCCAACAGTTTCTGATCATAGACAGAATAGATATGCTCCAGGTTTCCTTGATTAAATAATGCCATTTATTGGGACCTAAGAAGCAGGCCTTCTCTAGAACATCATCTCTTCCTGAGATCCGTATGGGTCTCACCCCTCGATGTTCAAAAAGGCACTGAAAACTTGGCTATTTTCCCAGGCCTTGGGATAGGTTGGTTGCCAAACTTTGATTGCTTCCTGCTTTTAAACACTCTAAGCCACACAGAATGACATGGTGTCAGATAGACTCTAAATTTTATGTATTTGTGCCTGAATATGTATATGTGTGTGTGTGTGTGTGTGTGTGTGTGTATCTATTTAGATTTATCAGCACAAATACAACATATATATATATATATATATATATATATATATATATATATATATATATATA